GAGTACCCCCCCCCCCCCCTTGGCCCCTTGGGACAGTCACGCCTCAGAGCTAGAATGCCCCTATTCACGTGTGTTTCCCGGTTTCCTGCCGCCCCCTGACTCCCCATGCTAACAACAACACAGATCCTTATCAAGGACTCTCGCTCCGAGAGATGGGTCAGGGACCCCGAGAGTTCGATTCCGCTGCAGATCGTCCAGGATAACCAAGGCAAGGTTTACGTCAGAGCCCATATCCGGCACTTCAGCCGTTGGGGACTCTTCAAGACGAAACCGCTCGTCTTCGGTCCTCAGCTGTTCCACGAACAGACAATCCCCTGGATGCAGAGCAAGCGGCACCAGAGCCTCATTCAGAACAACACCCCGGGCGTGGACATCCACATCTACGCCATGCGGATTGCCCAGTGGAGCGCCGCAGTGAAGTCCGTTAAGGCGGGGGCAGGGGCAGAGGGCTTCCAAGCGAACTTCGAATTCACCGGGGACGTCCATCAGAACGTCAACCCTGCGGCCCTGGTCCCCCAGATGGTGACTATACCCCCGGGCCATAGCCACTGGATTGAGGTTCCGCGAGTGGGAGCTGGTTTCCGATCGAGCCGAAAGGCAGTGGTCATGATCGTCACAGAGCTCAACGACGAGAACGACGGCAAGAGGATGCGATTGGAGGCCGTGGAGCACCTCCGAAGCAGGACCATGCTAACGGTAACCTTACGTGTGTCCGAAGGCAAGGTAATCGGGAGCCCCGTCGCCGCGGAAGCGGGAGGCATTCTGTCCCAATTGATGCGCGCCATCCAGAATGATGTCAATGCCACGCCCAACAACGCGCCTTCGACGGTCCGAAGCCGCAGCGAGACCAACAGCGGGGTGAACATCGGTCTGGGTGCGGAGCATCCTGGTGCGGAACAGTTTATGGGTTCCCCCGCGATGGCGGAATCATCAGGCGACGACATCACTCCGACTGGCGCGGGTCCTGCAGATATGCCGCCGCTGTAGCAGCGTCTACCACGAGAACAGCTGGAGATGATGCGGCCGCTGTGACGGCGCACACCGCGATACCAGCCGAGGCTGCTGATCGTGCTGCTGCTGCTGTGTCGGTGGCGGCCGTGCCCGAAGACCATGAACCGCCTGCGGCCAAGGCTGCTGTTGACGACGCATCGGCTGGCGCTCGTTCAGATGCTCACCCGAATGCTTCTCCGTTCCTGGCAACCAAGTCCGCCGCTACAGTTTCTCCTGTTGCATAAGGCCGTGAACGGCCCGTGAGTTCCTCGTTAGGGCGCTTGCAGAGCCACATAGAGTGCCATTGACTGCGACTAGCTTAGCAATTTAGGTGCTCTGTGCCCACCGCACCTGCACGAATTTCATTTAGTCCCTTGTTATCCTGCAGTGGCCGCGGCGCATGGCCAAGTGGGGTGCGGATCGGTTTGGAGATTGGTTTTAGTGAGCTTCGTTGTTCGATAAAATCGGGTTGTAAAATGTAGCCATCAACGGGATATTGCCACACAATTTTTTTTGCTTTTTGCCCAGTCCACCAGACCAACCGTTGTTTTGTACTACTGGCACCCAAAGACCTGGGACACGCAAGTCGCACGTATTTTTTGCTTTCTGTTCTTATTGGTCCATCGTGGTTGATGTGATTTGGTATCCGACTCGTGTTTCCCGCAACGCGAGTGGGGGCCAAGCTGCCAGGCTTCAGCCTCAACCAGATCGCGATCGATTGCTGACTTCTTGTAGACTAGCCGTAGTTTATATGTAGCATTTTGACGATTCATCCTAGGTGGGTGTTTCAGCATCGCCGCCCACCTCCTTCTTCGATGGATACCGTGGGCCTACTACTGGCAATGAGGTTCATTTTTTTGCATAACTGTGCGTGCTGTCAGTATATGCTCAGCGAACGGGGGCTGACACATTGACGCCGTCTGTGGCGTTGGACACCTGGTCGTGCGGCATACATGGGTGCGCTTCTTTAGTTGGCAATATGCTCAACGAGCGGGGTCCATCACGGGTAGGCCGTCTGTGGAGTTGTGTGCGCGTTTTTTTTGTTATCGTCATCAGCGCCAACCGGCTGGCCGGCGAAAAGGTTTCGACAGTTTAAGCGGCATACAACCAACGCGGAATGCGTTTGCTACTGTAGGCATCGGGCTCTCACGGCAACGGGGCTATGAAGGAGGTTCAGCGATGGTGTCCCTCATCCGGATGCGAAGCACAAGCATGCACGTAGCACTACCGCTGCGGCGTAATAAGCTCCTCTTTTTGTGCGAGCACCATGCATAGCCGTGATTGGCGTATCAACTATAGCTGAAGAGTGCATGTTTTCTTGTAGGGAGAGTGGTACTGCCACACATCGTGGACAACCACATGCCTTCCACTGTATGTACGGGTGTGATGGCACTCGCCACGGCCTCTCTTGAGGGCTTGAAGACGTGGATTGTCCTCAGAGATCAATAGATAGGCAGAGATAAGAAAATGCGAAGTACTTCTAAGAAAGAAGATAATCAAGAGGATGCGACAATCCAAAGGAACAAGAAATGCTTTTCAAGGAAAAGGACGGCTTAGGCAGGAGGTTCTTCGACCCAAAAATATGGGATTGAGGCTCGACCCGAGTTGACGTTGGGCGCTCTCTGTACAAGATGCACATGATTTTTATTTATTTATTTTTGCCTTCCGACAATTGTAAATGTACCTCAGAAAACTTTCACTTAATGTCTCATACTCTACATGAATATTAAACCAATACGAAGTACAACAACATATATAGGACTTATTTCTACTGTCATTTACATCGTAAAAGTATCTCCTCTTCAACTTGAAATAAAACCAATGACAATCCTGATGGTATCCTATATGCGTTCGTAAGCTTGCTAAAATACTACTGCGTTGATGTCCGCTTGTAAAAAAAGCTGAAATCCAACAAATGCTCATTATTTTTCTTGCACAAGATCCTGTAAACCACAAATAAATACCAACACAGAAAGATCACCCATTCGATATACACCCACAGTCGAACGGGGATGTGTAGGAGACACTATAATATCTTAGAGTGTTGACAGTTTCGGACCCCAAAAAAGCTGAAATAAGGAAAAATATGCATATTTTGAGTTAAGCCATCGTTCTGAGGATCGTTCCTGACAGTCTCGCCAGAACCAGAAACAAGTAAAAAAAACTTCAATTCAAGAGCCGAGCTGCCAACTTTTCGATTTAAGCAACTTTCTTAACAAAAAACCACCGGTCGCCCCGGTGGTCTAGTGGGTTGCCTCGCAGCCTGCCAAGTGCCAAATCATGGGATCGAGGCCCGGCAGAGAAGGGTTTTTTCTCACTAAATATATCCTGGTCTATCTAGGATGAAAGCAACGCGCTGCAAAGCTCGTTTGTTAGTAAACCATAATCGACTTCGTAAGTCGCGAGGGAAGGGATTGCTGTACCCTTCTCGCGATGAAAATACCTCAGGCATGAACCGCAGGAGGGGTCCAACCCCCCCCTCCTATGTGACCCCGGTTGGGTCGTCTAGCTAGTAGAAGTGGAGGATAGGGGCCAGAGGGGGCAGACGACAGAGTCCAATGATGGGAGAAAAACAAACAAAACAAACAAAACAAACAAAAACCCACACCAGCCACCACCACCACACCAGACCCACACGCACACACAGCAGTCTGATACGAACATGTCCACCCGCCCAAAGAGAAAGGCAGCGCNGCAGACGACAGAGTCCAATGATGGGAGAAAAACAAACAAAACAAACAAAACAAACAAAAACCCACACCAGCCACCACCACCACACCAGACCCACACGCACACACAGCAGTCTGATACGAACATGTCCACCCGCCCAAAGAGAAAGGCAGCGCCCAGCGCAAAGGTCCTGGATCTGGCGCGCGACGAGGTCGCCAAGAGGGAGGCGGCACGGGCAGCCGGTCGGGTGGGCGTTGCGGCTCTAGGCCAGCAGCACGCCCGCGACCTCGAGGCAGCGGGAGGAGAAGAGCAAGCGGCCGGGGGAGACGGCGATGATGTCCAAGTCGTAGCAGCGCCAGCAGCAAAGCAGGCTAGGGTTAGGAAGAGCGCGAAGTAGCCTCCTACTTTCGACTTGGCGCTGGCAAGGGCGGGTGAGTCTTTGGCAGCCCTCCCGTACATTATGGTCCAAAAAAAATAATTAAATTATTTCGCGCGAAGAAGGGTCGGAGAGAGACGTCAAAGCAAGCGTAGATGGATATGGATGGAGCCTACACCACCACGTAGGTCACCAGCGCGCACGCTCACACCTCACCCTATACCACCAGTCAGTCAGGGGATGAATGGGAGCGCTGTTTAGCTCCCATCATCATCAGCTCAGCGGCAGCAGTGCTGCTGCTGCTGCTGCTGCTGCTGCTGCTGCTGCTGCTGCTGCTGCTGCTGCTGCTGCTGCTGCTGCTGCTTGCTGTTGTTGTTGCCGCCCCTGCTGCTGTGCATGGGTGCGCAGTTGCTTTCTTCGCTTTCGCTACTAGCGAAGGGCAACGGACTCTAAAAATTGGCCCGGACCACGACGTGTGTTTTTGGCCGCCCTTGGCTTACATCGCTGTGTCCGTCTCACTTGTCACTGTTTCCGGGGTGTTTCTGTTGTGGAAGAAAAAGATCGGCCGGCAGACAAAGAGACCGCAGACAGAGATCTGACGTGTGTGCACTCGCATGTTCCCTTGCTTACGTGGCTAGCAGTGGACCTCCGGGTCTACAAATAGCTTTCGACGCCAGCCATGACGTGTGCCTTTGGCCGGCCTTGGCCTACAGCAGTGTGTAGGCCTCGTTTGCTCTGTTGTGGGGATGTGTCTGTGCGGGAAGCTCCAAAGATCGGTAGGTTGAGGGTGATGCAGACCGACCGCGGATTGACTGGCGTCGTCACTCGCTTGTGCTGCCGACAGCAAGCAAGGGGCTGCAAGAGTCATACCCAACGCTTCTCATGATGTGTGCCTTTGGCTGCCCTTAGCCTACGACATCCGTATACTGCTGTGCTGGTTGTATCGCATGTTGTGTACGTGATGTGTATGGTGGTGCTGTGCAAGAGGATTTCGGTGATTCTGCCGAGAGCGTCGTGCCCATCGCCCAATCATCTGTCTCTGTCTTACAAAATGTCTTACAAACTCGACGGGTGATTGGTGCGAGATGGGCATCTACCCGGCTCTACTCCTCTGAAACATAGATAATTGTTGGAAGTTCTTCCGTGTCTTACAAAAAATCGCCCTGTTAATGGGTGCCCTGCCGAGTCTTTCCCCGCTCAAGGGTATGCTCTGTTTTTCTAGAGGCGTTTGTTGGCTTGCATGTGTTCCCTCCCCAAACCTCACCCCCATACGCTCCGAACGCGACACAGCACTGCAGGAGCAGCCGGCCACACCAGTGGTATATGTACTTGCTGTCTCCGTACTGGTGCGATTTCTTGTGCTAGTTGTTTCCTTTGCTGGGGTAGGGAGCGACTCATGTGCGCGCGCACACATGCAGTTCATGGTAGATAGAAGTGTTTTGTGTTTTCAACCGCACTAAGACTGACGTCTTTTCATTGGTCAGCCGGTTAGGTCGGTCGACGCTAATAATAAAAGCACATGCAAGCTGTTTTTGAAGTGTAGACTAAAGAGACAGCCACTCCGAACCAGATTGGTGATCCTTGGCAACGAGTGTGCAACGAGTGCGCAACATATACGCAAGATTCAATATAAAAGCAGCGTAGTAGGGTAGGAGCACAACGAACGCTATATTCGCCGTTCGTAGGGGATACAAGTCTTGCTTGGCGAAGGAGATGAGACTTTCTTGCACTGGTTCCGACGTGGAAAAATAAAAAAATACACACACGTCACATGTGGCATGATGTTTAAAATTTAATAGCAGCTACGAGTCTTTTTGGGCGTACGAAGCCGCTGCATCCCCCAGTAGATACAGTCTACTTGCAAAGAATGTCGCATGTCGCCTTTAGATGGAACCAGCAGGACAAAGGTGCGCACACAATTGTAAGCGCCAAGGAGTCATCGACTAGTATTTTCTCGCATCACAACGGCACATCGACGGACTATTATGATGGGCGCGGATCCGCTGCTGCGTCCCACAGGAGAAGCAGTCTACCCGTGGCAGATCATGTTGCATCATGTTAAATGGGGTTACACGCAGTGTTAGTTATCCTCCATCCCGCTGTAGCCGCAGTAGATGCAGTCTGCCCGAAAGAATGTCGTAACAACTACTGCGAAGCACCGCGGACCCTGTGCAGTTGACACTCTGCGCAATAGCCATTCCGTGCGCTGCAGACGGCCGGGGTTCACGGACTCGTTTAGTGGCGAGACCTATGCTCCCCCCTCTTCTCAACACGCACATCTGGTGTAAAAAATGGAGTCGAAGCAAGTGACAACAGAATTGTAGTTGCTGTTTGTTTGTAGTTGGCAGTGGTGGCGCAGTTTGGGTAGATACAACACAGAGTGAT